ACGACGCACCCCTAACTGAGTCAGGTAAGTTTTTATAAGTATATGTTTAGGAATTTTTATTAATTAGTTTTATTGATTTTTAAGGCAATTATTCGGCAAAGTATTGGAAAACAAAGGAATTGATTGAAAAGTTTACGAAAGAGAGAGGTTTACCACAACTATTGATACCTAAACCTCCAGTCGTGTCGCTAACCACTGGTTACGGGAAACTCAAAGTAAAAGATTACTTGAGTTTAGAGGACGTGTTGACACAAATGAAGCCAATCGTCACCGAAAAGCCACAACACATGGAGTTATTAAATATTGGCTCAAATTATACACAAAATTATGGTTTTATTCTCTAAAGATTTAAAAACTTAAAATGAAAAGGTATTTATTTTTAATATAAAATTATTATTTACTTAATTATAAACATATCAATTATTAGGAGGTGTTAATGATCGGGGAATCATTATGATTGGCCACAAAGAAGTCGGTGTCGTTGATAATCAAACGGACTTAACCAGGGCTTCAATTACTCGCAATTTACAAACATAACGATTCATGCTTTAGATATTATGGTCGAAAATGGGGGCCCTTTAAGGATCTGGGCAAATATGAATATTGGTCGCAAGGGTCTGTACGGCGATATAAGTATCAATACAAAAGTAGTTACAAATATCGAGACATTTCTGTTTGAATTCAAAGAACCATTTCTTAAACAATTGTCTGAATTGAAGGAAACTCTTTCGTTGAGGACATTAAAAATCCAGCCGTTTATCGGTTAGAATTGGATATTAAAGACAGTCCGAGGGATATATTCATACGACTGGACGGTTGGGTGAAAGGAAATGTATTTATTACTGATTTCAATATAGGCCGGTATTACCACATCGGACCCCAACAGACACTGTATATCCCTGCACCGTTACTAAAAACAGGCAAAAATGAAATATTAGTGTTTGAATTGCATTCATAAACTGGCACGGTTGAATTTGTTAATTGTTGATACCCCACATGTGAGATAATCATTGTAATGAATTAAATGAATTAAATACTAAATTAAAAATTCAATAAAATTTTCATAATACTCAAAAAGTTAACAAAGTTTGGATTTTGACGTATCAATAAAAATTATTTTATAATTATTAAAAATAAAACTCATTTTGAATATTTATAAACCACAACCAGAATAAACCCTATAATAGATTCTTAACTAGAGCAAAATAAATTATTTATTTGGTGGTTATAAAATTAATTATAACGAATGAATGATTTAATTGTATTTAACAAATAGAATGCAAAAATAAAAATTACCCAGAAAATATACTTTAAACTAAATAAATAAAAATCATTTGCATACATAAACCACAATTTACTAGTTTGTAAATAATTTTCAAATTTTATTGATACAATATTTTAATAAACTTTTAAAACATAAAATATATTTTATATATTGATATATAAGGTAGCAAAAAATAAATGCTAAAAACAAAATTAACAAAATAAAAACTTTCACAAAACACTTTCACCACAATTCAAATCTTACGGCAAAGTGTTTGAACAGAAAAGGCACCGATACTATCAGGGGAATGGCAGATGATGATGAGGTACAGGAGTTGCATTTGAAATGTCGTGTCAGCACCTGTCATCCGGGCTTTGGAGGTCCGACACCGACTCACTGGAAAGTATTGGCACATTTAAAAAAACAGCCGACCCCCCGTCTCAATAAGCATATCGCCGACGCCCGGACTATTAGGGCCGCGAGCGTCGCAAACGAGGGCCAACTGATAGCGGCCTTCGTGCCCACGGTTCCGGCGGTTGTGGCGACGATCCGGGAGCTTATCTACCGGGAGATCTTTACGTATGCGTATCGGGAGCGCAACGCCGACCATGTGCGGCACCGGGACGTGTTGCGTCGGGTGCCGCAGTTCGCCCGACTCATCAGTTTGGCTCACACGGCGCGAGGGAACTACAGACTGGACCCGTCCGACGGCAATCTCCAGGCGCTCGACCACGTCCTGCGACTCAGGGGTGAGTTGTATCAGTTTTTAGCGAACAGGTATCACATGAACGAGGAAGGGCTGATGGCCGCCAACTATAACACAGATATCTTACCGGCAGAAGTTTACTGCCAGGGCTCAGGCATACCTCAGACATATACTGCGCCGGATGAATATATGTGAGCCGGGGTCAGACATGTATAACACTTACCATCGCTGGTATAACTTCGCGTTGGATACCGTTATTGCATTGTTTCCGACGTTTATTTATGACACGAATACGCCTATCGGTGCGATCCTGTCCGTCGATCGAGACCCCATTCCCGCTGAAATACCCGTCCCACCGGAGGTGATCCAATACGTGGCCAGCTGATGCAGCACTGCATACCGGTGCTCAGGATGAGGGAGAAGATTATACAACTGGGGAACCGGAGCGCAAAAAAATAAACCCTCGCATGCGGTTACAAGTGCTGACGTGGATACCGAAGCTACTACTAGTAGTATTGGTGCAGTTCAACCACCGTATGAGAACCTACCGGAGCTAGAGCCAGGAGCGCAAACACTGCACATACCGGACTCGCTCGAACAGGATGTCCTGAACCTACCAAACCCTTCCCAATATTTCGATTTACTCGATCGGCTAGACTCCGGAGGGGCTAATCCCGAAGCGGGGAAATTACCGCCAGTACCACCAACACAGTCCCCACAACGGGCACCTCCTTCATGGCGTCCGCCTAATACTCCGTCTCCACAATTCCTGAGCCCACGAGGCCTACCAAACCTATCGATCTCCCAGAGCCCACCACTATCGCCCAAACAGTCCCCACAGGGCTCACCTAATCCCGGAGCCGCACAAAACGTCGACCCAACTCTGCCGGTCCTAAGCCATGAACAACAGGAAGCGGTCATTATGGAGGCCTCGATGTACGCGGGAGTTATGACTTACCTCTCGGGCAACCGCTTTTCCACTAACATAGCCTGTGTGGGGGCTGTGAATGCCGGGAATGAACCGCCATTCCCTCGGGTGGCCGCCCACGCCTTCAACCCCTTTGATCCCAACTATTGTCAGCGGGTTATCCATCAATTGGCAGATCTGAGGGATGAGTTAAAGGTACGGGAGGCTGGGTTTTCCAGTTTTGGGTGGTTTCGAGCCGAGGGGCAACGTCACGAGTGTCGGCCGGGGCTGTAGTTCTCAACCCTTGGGCCGCACATCTGTTTTCCTCGCCAGTACGTTGTAGCGACTGTCCGATTGGTTGTACCCGGGGTTGGCCGGTGTTAGTGGAGGCGCTGTGTTCCTGGGATAGGACGGGTCAAGCTTTTTATACCTACCGCACACCTCCACGTAACCCCTGTCCGCTCTGGTCTCAATATCAAACCCCGGGACGGAACCTGTTAACTGAGCCTGTGAACTACCGGTGCCCCTACTGGCCAGTGCCGCCTCGAATCGTGACGATAGCTGTAGGCCTTCCTGCTGGCGCTGCAGCTCCCGGTTCACCGCCATATCAATGAGGTTTGGTTGGACGACATCACCCATAATACGACGCGCCATAGCGTGTAGTTCCTCGCGAGTAAACTGTGGTCGGCCTGACGGTGGTGTCTGGGAGGGTATGTGACCCACAGTCCCCGAGTAGGTCGGTGTTTGGTATGGTAGGACTGGAGGGGTGGAGCGGGGAGGCGCTGCTCTCTGGAATTCTGGACATAGGCCTAAACCTTCCGACTGTCGCTCCAACTGCCGGTTCACCGCCAGATCGATAGCGTTTTGGGGGGTCTGCTCGCCATAGAGGGTACGCGCCCGGGCTAGTAGTTCATCGCGACTGACCAGGGGTTGGCCACCAGTCGGTGGTGTCTGAGAGGGAAAGAAAGTGGTACAGATGGGGGTCCGGAAGGGCGTGACTTGACTGGTGAGTCCTGAAGGCCGCACCGGTGGTAGTGATTGTGTTGGTTGAGAGGCTGGCGTCGGCTGTACACCCAATCAACGAAACTCCTCGTCCACCCACTGGTCTATAGCCGCCTGACTGGCGTCGTGGGGCAGGTGTAGGCGCGCCCGGGCCTCGAGCTCAGCCCGAGTGGGCAGGAATTGCTTGGGACGCCCTCCGCTACGGCATCGACAGTATCACCGGTAGTCTCAGATTGTGGACCGGGAGGGATGGCTCTCTGTAATTGCGGGGTTACCGGTGGGCCTGTCGCTGTAACTCTAAGTCCACTATCTTATCGATAGCCCTTTGGTTGGCCTCTTTGCCATATATATGCGGCTCCCGGGCTAGTAGTTCATCGCGAGTGAACAGTGGTAGGCCTTATGATGTTGATGTCCGGGAGGGCACAGTATCCCTGAGACCTACGGTCATACGACTTGTACTTCTAGGCAGTGCCCGGTAACCACTAACCGGCCTATTAGCTGCCCTATTTGACCACAAATGGCCGATAGCACTGGTCATCGACGGTGACTCAATAGGCAGTGCAACACCGGGAGGTACTGGTCTCTGGAATAGTGGCGATAACGGTAGGCCTTCCTCCTGTCGCCTTAGCTCCCGGTACACCGCTATTTCGATGGACTTTTGGGGCGAACCTATGCCGGCATATATGTGTCGCGCCCGCGTCAGTAGTTCCTGGCGAGTGAGCGGAGGTGGGTGTCTGGGGGTGTTGGGGGTAATGATACCTGGCCGGTCTGGGCCTCTGGTGCACTCTCAATAAGCTGTTCTACAAACGGCTCTGTTTGAGAAGGCGTTTGTTGACCAACCGGTGCTCCCGGTGTCAACAGGTGCGACGGTAGGCCGCGTCCACCTCCCCGTCCACCCAATCGTTTATAGCCTCCTGACTGACATTCTCGGGGAAATGTAGGCGCGCCTGAGCCTCGAGTTCACGATGAGAGAGCTGTCGGTTCATAGCGAGGGGTTTACAGGTATTTAAAGTTTTTCAAAATGTATACAATTTTTATGAATTTAAAGATTTTGTCCCAAATATAAGGGCAGAAAATAGCATTAAAAGTTCATCTATAATATCAAACTTCAAACATTCTTCAAAATGTGAATAACAATCATTTTGAACACACATTACTGTATTTTAAAAATAATTATTAATTATTAAATCCCAATATAATTCCTATTATCATAATACTGTTGTGCAGTATAATATTAGGAAACTTATTAAATGTGTGTCATTTGAATGATAATAAAAATTATTATTTACTATTATGTGTGGAGTTTGATAACAAATGCACTCTTTAGCACTTTTATTGTGACAATAATCTGCAAAAATACCAATTATTTTGAACACAAATTATCAATAGGAATGTTAGATAATAATTAAACCCTTGTTTTCTCTGCACTAAACAATTGATATACAGTACATCCAACACTACACCCCTGTCCCGTGTTTATGTAATTTAATTATATCTGTATGTATAAAGCATTTGTTACGAATATCATCTGTAATTAGTTGATAACATAAAATTGAATCGGGATTCATTTAGAAAAGTGGTTTCAATACTGTAAAAGTGAAAATAAAAATCCTCGTCAGTGTTGTGTCTGTGAACTAAAACATGTGTCAAATTGTCATTAAATGTTTGTTTAGAAATCTAATTTCACTGATTTGCAAGTGGATAGACTGCCAAATAAATTATCAAGTTAACTTATAAACGCAAAAATTTTATCTCAAGTACTTAGCTATCTTAAACAACCAATGCTTTAAATGTGTTATTATAATGTAGGTCTCAATATATTGTATTAGATTTTTACTATAAAAGCGTTGATAAATGAATTAAACACAATTTCACATACTGTATTAGTTCAATTTAGGTACAAGGTTATTCGTTTGAAAACATTATTCAAGCATTTGTTACTTAAGTATAAAAGGGAAGTCAAATTTTAGAAATCTTTTAAAAGTAGTTTATCTATTCACATAAACCTAATATAATTTCGAGCATTTTATATAAATCACAAGGATGAAATTTTATATAATTGCATGTGTAGTATTAATAGCATTTAGTGTCTATAGTAATGGTGCCGAACAGACAAACTACGAGTACTACACATCCGGTGGTATCAAATCGGGTCTGAGGGCCGACTCCGTAGACTTCACTCTCAACGGAAAGAAAATCACTTTATTTAGCGGTTCTTTGCATTACTTCCGATTACCCAAAGCCTACTGGAAGGACAGGCTACTGAAGTATAGGGCAGCCGGACTCAACACCGTAAATATACCCCATAGCCATCGCACATACCTTGTAATACCTGCGTCCACCTATAGGTGCAAACATACTCGCCATGGAATCTACACGAGGAGACCCCCGATCACTGGGACTTCGAGACGGGTTTCCTGAATCTGAAAGACTTCCTCGATGCTGTCAAAGCCGCCGACATGTTTGTCTTTTACCGTCCGGGCCCTTACATATGCAGTGAGTGGGACTTAGGGGGTTACCCCTCGTGGCTGCTCAGGGATCCCAACATGAAGCTCCGGTCCAACTATAAGCCACACTTGGATGCGACGGAGAAGTACTTTAAGAAAGTACTCGACATTATCAACGACTACCAGTTCACGAAAGGCGGTCCCATAATAGCCATGCAATTCGAGAACGAGTTCGGAGGCATTCATAACGACAACGATAAGCAGTACTTCCAGTTCATGAAGAATGTCATCGATTCCCACGNCGAGAACGAGTTCGGAGGCATTCATAACGACAACGATAAGCAGTACTTCCAGTTCATGAAGAATGTCATCGATTCCCACGGATTCAAAGAATTGCTCACTAATTGCGATCCGTTTGATCAGGCAGCCGGCGCCGCCAAGAATGTCCTCCCAGGTATGGGTGCAACCAGTTTGAGATTTAAGTTGTGGTTTGGGTTTGGTTTGGATTTAGATTTTATTTTTCAGATACTAGATTTTTAGCATTGTTCCCATTGACTGTCTGTTTATTGCTAATATTTATCATTACTTTGTATCACTAAATATACTAGGATAAAAGTGTGCTATTTATTAACAAAATACTAACAAAATTCTCATTTAATTTCTTATTTATAACTCGTTTTATATTCAGGTGTTTTAGAGACTGATAACTTTCAATATGATTCCCTGAATCTATTGACTAAACTACGTACAGCACAGCCTAATAAGCCCCTGTATGTGACCGAGTTCTGGCCAGGGTGGTTTGACCAGTGGGGTGAAAAACACCACACCTATGATATCAAGACATTGGAAAAGGAGGTGACGGACGTACTGTTCAAACAGCACAGCCTAATAAGCCCCTGTATGTGACCGAGTTCTGGCCAGGGTGGTTTGACCAGTGGGGTGAAAAACACCACACCTATGATATCAAGACATTGGAAAAGGAGGTGACGGACGTACTGTTGTTTCGGTTGAGTAGGTAGTTAAAGATGTACAAAAAGCCACCGTGATTGAAACCCAAATACTTACCCCTAGCCATACACTGATCAATACTAAAACTGCGTGGGGATTGACTCTGTCCATACAAAAATGTTGGTTTATGTTTTTAGATGTATAAGTAATGATTTGATTTATTTTAAGCCAATTATACGGATAAGTATTGGAAGATAAAGGAATTGATTGAAAAGTTTACGAAAGAGAGAGGTTTACCACAACTTTCAATACCTAAACCCCCGGCCGTGTCGTTAACCACTGGTTACGGGAAACTCAAAGTTAAGGATTACTTGAGTTTAGAGGACGTGTTGACCAAAATCAAGCCAATCGTCACCGAAAAGCCACAACGCATGGAGTCATTAAACATTGGTTCAAATTATGGACAAAATTTTGGTTTCATTCTCTATAGACTCGCAAATGTTAATAAGTTTAAGCATTTGAAACTCACGGGTAATTCAACCCATTATAATGAAATTAAGTTAATGATTACTATATTTATAACCCTTATTTTTATCCACCACGGAGACTAGCCCCTCAGTATGAGCATCTGGTGTTTCTCCAGCCACAACAGCTGTTGTTATTTCTGATATTAGTCCTGAATTTACTGAGCGTTAAACGTAACACAACGACTCATACGTTGGATATAATCGTCGAAAACATGGGTCGAGCGAAGATTGGGGACGGGATTAATACCGCCCGCAAAGGTCTTAACGGAGATATCAGTATCGATACAAAAGTTGCCACAAATATCCAGACATTTCCGCTTGAATTCAAAGAACCATTTGTTAAACAATTGTCTGAATTAAATGGAAAGCCTTTCGTTGAAGGCATTAAAAGTCCAGCCGTTTATCGGTTTGAATTGGATATTAAGGACAGTCCTAAGGATACATTCATACGACTGGACGGTTGGGTTAAAGGAAATGTATTGTAGTTATTAATGTTATATCCAGCCATAATGGTGTAGCCTGGGGTTGTCTGTGACATATAGGGACGTGGCAATGATTTTTGCCCGTTTTTACTATATAATCACAAACTTAGCGTAAGTAGTTGACCGACTATTGAATTTGTTGATAAACCGGTTTTGGGTTAAACTAAACCTTCATATAATTGACAGAACTTTTGACATACTTATGATTTTATGTTAAAAATTATACTAAACTATAAGACGATTTACTAAAATTTGTTTGATTACATGCAATAATAAATAATACAATTTTTGTCATACAAGCAATATTGTAAAATACAGGCATAAAAATGATAATTAAATCATAAAATGAAATTTTCTTTTCAATTATTTCTAATACTTTCCATACATTTCTGATACATTCTTTGATTTTATACAGAGAAATAAATGTCAGATTTCTAATTATATAATTTTGATGCAAAACCACAAACTGTTGGATCCATTGAAACGAGTTTTACGGATAATATTTGATACAACAGTAGACGACAACTGCGCCCACAGTTATGCCTAAAAAGAATGGGAGCACAGCTTTGGCACAACAACTGGGCCTACAGGTGCTCTCAACAGACTCTCCGGCCAAGGAGTCTACGGACTTGTCCTTTTCAGACGGATCCATGGGTTTGGGCTTTTTCTTGAACCAGTTCGGCATATAATGATCACTTGATTTTAATTGGTTTTGATTTTGAAATTTGTTTTACAAGTGTTTGGAAATGGATATCAAATGTTTTGCTCACTATTTGTGACACTTTTGTGTTTTGTCTCATAAACCAGTAAATCAGTTGTGATTTGAATTTTCAAATATTATATGCTTTTTGACAAAAACTTTTATGTAATGTAAAGGATTGATTGCAATTTGAAGTATAATAGCGTTAAGGCATTGTTAAGATTTTAAATACAATTGCTTTATAAAATTGGTTGAAAATAAGGGTTAAAAATCTTAATTTTAAACGGATTTTGATGTCAGCTGTGAATTAGTTTTATAAAACAAATCCATCAGAAAAATTACTGATACCATGAATTTAATTATACACATTCTGATAGGTATTAATAGTGATTATAATTTTGTATGAATTCCTAAAACTAATTAACGATACAATTCATGCCTACAGTTATCGCATGTTTGTCGCGATTCTTGGTCTGCGATTCAATGCAAGACTTTTGTCATTCATATGAACAGAATTCACAGAGAATTGACTCAACCTTTCAGTTGGGATGGTATCGGAAGGGAGACCCCATTCACACGTATTTGATAATAGGGCACAAGTATTGGGAAGTGACGGCAAACTGGAAGTCAGACAAAAGTGATGACAAAACTATGGCTTTAAAACTCAAATTGAATGCAATCTCAGCAGAGAATCAATGGTTTGACAGTAAATACAGCACTGGTTTCGCTGTCAGACACAACTCAACGAAAGCCTATTTATTTGTGTTCAACCAAATGGTCACCACTTATTCATACGGACTCTTAAATGTGTGTATTATTTATATTTAGAGTTAATTTTGTTGTAATTTTAACTATCATTCAATATACAGATAATTAAAGTTACAAACCATTGACTAATTTTAAAAACTATAAGAAATAATAAACTGTTTTATTTGCCCCGACTATAAGCCGTCGACAAATACCATCGATTGGCAGGTGATGTACGACAACACCGACGACATCCAGACCATCGGATCCCAGTATTTCAAACATTCGGAAACTCGTATCAAATTTGAGAACCAATTCAAACCGATCGCCAACTTTAAGGTTCACGATATGCCGGATGTCATGTGTTTTGTGGGCCAACAGTCCGCTACAGACAAGCCGTTTCTTCTACGCTACCGATGCTATCAGTTCAGTAATGTGTCAAATGGACTGAAGGCGAAGGAGTATACCCGCGAGACTGGGGAACAGTATCCAAAAGGGTTTGCCAGCTATACCAAAGAGACGGGTAAAAAGGTGCAGTTTATTGAACAGTCCACGAGTCAGTACGAACTGATTGGCATGTTTGGACCTTGGTTCAATACGCATTATGGGCTACTATTCAAGGAGGGTGTGACCATTTCCTACTGTATTACGAGCCCTAATTATACCCAGGTATTAGTATAATTATAACAATAGTTTTATTGTTTTTAATAACAGTTTTAAATGTTTTTGTGTTCATTGTGTGTGTAGTGTGAACAACCTAAAACAGCCCTGATCACATGTTCCGATAGTAGCAGACTATTTGGTGGTAATGTCAATATACTCAAAGGTGGTGATAATACAGGCGTGTATGTATCCCTGGTCATTGGCATATTGATTGTCATAATGATAGTGGCATCATTGGTAGTTTATGGGGTAATTCGCATAAAATCAGATAATAAGTCTCAAAAGGTCCCGGACAATATAAACACAACAAAATCAATCAAATCGTTATCAGATTTAGATGTTAAGCCGAAATCAAGCAAATCTCCGGCAATCAAACAAATACCAATCGTTTCCCAAAAATGAAAACGTGTTCACAAACTACAAAATTATATGATTTTTATGATCGATTTTATAGTATTATATAAGAATTGTATGATTTGAATTATTTATCTAATTTTATTTTCAAAAAATTCAATTACAATTAATTTACTAATAAAAAGTTTTGTTACATTTGTATAATTTGTTTTACAGTTGTATACCAAATAAATTTAGTCATTTGTCTATTATGTAAAATTATTAACTCAAATTTGATTGTACTGTATAACTCATTATAAATTTAGTCATTATTTAATACATTTTTCAATATCTGTTACCATCTCTTAAGCCCTGATGAAGATCTCCGTTCGGCTGATCTCTTATTTTTGATACGTTTCACACATTAATAAAATAAGTTATTGAAAACAATCCCTTAACTCGTGATACCATTGATTCATTGTAAGAGATTTTAGATTTAATTCTTAACTTATTAACAATTTTAATAATACCGTTCAATATAATGGGAATATATGTAAGTATTTCAAAACTTTTTTATAACTTTTAATAAAAAAAACTTTTCCCCGCTTGGGACGCGACTCATGTCCCCTTCCTATAGATTAACCTTAACTTAGCTATAGTTAGTGCGACACTCTAACCGCTACACCACTCTACTCCCTATCACCACCCTTTGCTAAAATACTATTTATACAAATATACTGAATTTTTTGGTTGCATTCATCACTAAATTAGAAACTAAGGTATACAGTACACCTGTCCATGTGATAACAAATGGTGTGTTATAAAAGTGTCTTATTATGAGTTTGTGAAATGAATTTCAATAGAAATTAACTATTTGTAAAATAAAAACTGATAATTTTTGAATCGGAATTATTTTTAGAAATTTATATAAGTCTCGAGATATTAACACCAAATTTATAAAAATTATTTTGAGTTTCTCATTCAGAACCATGTCTTGGGATTAGTAACTAATCATTAGTTTAATAATGAAAATAACAATAAAAGGTTTAAATGCAAAACAAAAGCAATTAGACAATGGACTCGATTTTCAAATCAAATTAGTTTTAGTTCTTATGTCCAGTATTCAGAATATTCTGTATTCTTCACTTGAGACCACTTAGACTTATAACACAGGTATGCCGGCACCGATATGCCAATTATATTACCACAGATATTGTCGTATCGTATTGATATAGTATTTATTATAAACAACAAAACAAACAATTGTAATATTTTAGAAGGAATTTACGATATTTGCAAATTTATTATAAAATATATCAAATTTGAATAATTGCTAGAAATTACAAAAAGTTTTTTCATTTTAAATGCTTATCGACTGAATAGACATAGTTTTAGATTACAATCCCTTTTCGGTTAGACTTTGGTTTAGCTTTTGATCGGAAATCAGTTTTAGTTATAGGGGGAGATCTCGTGGATTTACTGTTGACAGACTTGAGGGTGACTATGGATATATCATCTAGTTTATTTCCATGACTTATTGATTGACTAATTGATTTCTTTATCGTGAACTCTCTTTGTTTATCCATGAATTTGATAATAAATATAATAAATAGTATGACCGCCAGAATGACCACCACTACTATGAAGGCTATAATAAATATTACAATAATCGCCTTATAATCCGATTCCGTAGT